ACCATTGTATAGGTTGTTCCGCAGATGAATTTCAAATAATTGAAATATTAATCCACAATGCTTTCGGGTTTGGCAATAGATGATTGTCCGTTCAGTAGTAGCTCCTTTCTGAAACACTTCATCGATTATTCCTCGAAAAACCATCTCAAGTGGCATATTGTTGTCAATGTACTGTAAACTGTATCGTAAATTATTACGGTTCGGACTTCTTTTCACAGTATACACTTTCTTCACTGGTATATGCAGACTATCAAGAATGCAATCTGTTGTCGACTATGTTGGCGGTGGCTGTAAGAATGAGAAAGTTTACATTTGATGGAACCAGAGACACCAATTCACTGAGGTTACCATACCATTTTCTGAATGGAATGCTTTCTTTTCTTCGCCCATATGATGACATTCCCCTGAATAGTTGAGAAAACAACTTAACAATATTTGTGAAAAGTATTAACAAAATTACACCAATCAGGCAATCACTAGTATATATCATTGTATGCTTTGTCAACCTTCAGAAATTAATATGTTAAATTTGAGATTTCATTAAGAGGTACAGGCTAAATTTTACTTACCACTGGCTGATACAATGGGCTTCGTCAATTGCCACTCCGGATAGATTTTCCAAAAATAGTTTGGAAGCAAATATACATCTCCACTTGGTTGTTGCCAGAATACACTCTGGTGAAGCATAAATGTGTGAATATTTGCCTTGTATCACATCTTGCATTACATGATTGTTGGCTTCATCAGTGATACAAACAGCCGCTATACCCAAACTGTTTAGGTAGGCTACTTGCTCCTCCATTAACGACTTTAAAGGCAAAATGATAATGATCATACTTGTACCTTTCGGTCGCCGATTTAGGGAGTCAAACATAATTGGCACGGCTTGGTACACCAGGGACTTTCCAAAGGCTGTTGGTAGGTTTACATACACATGGTGGTCCTTAAAGTAGTTTTCCAAAGCCTCCTTTTGTTCAGGGTATAGCTCTTTGAAATTAAATGTCGAACAAACACTTTTAAGAGCGTCATTCCAACGATCGATTGAAAAAGAAAGCTTGTCACTAGATGCCACCATGTTGTATATTGAATAATATAATCATAGCATACATTATAAAATTAATTCAGAATTTAAACCAATCATGACGTGGCTTAGGTAGAATTGGCTATTAAACCAATCAACATGCATTACTTATTTTCATGTAAGTGCATACGTCACGGCACACGATTAGCTTCGCAGTTTAGCAGACCCGAATTTCCGGTTTTCGTTTGAACGAAATTTCGGGCTGCAAGCAGCCTACTCCTCTTAGGGTTCTCAGCAAACTTGCATGCGTCATCATTAAGCTCTAGTGTAACTTATTTTTCTGTTTCGTGTTTTTATGGTTTGTTCCCGAGATATTTAACAAAAACAACTTTTTTTATTAATTAAGAGGCATTGTCTGCAAGAACGGTCCAGCGAATTCTGACTCAATTTTCGTTTGGCTTCATAATATATCAATAACTTCCTTGATGTATCCTGATGCTTGTTTAAACAGTCATTTCTTGAAAATTGTCTTATTTTTTGTTTATCCTCAAACATACTAGACATGTTCAGGAATCCAAAATGGCGCTCATGATTAGGACGGATATTTGCAATTTTTCTGACTTTGCACCGAAGTTGTGCAAGGGTCTACAGAACATGTATCTGTGTTTTTTTATTGAATAATGTATGTTCATTTCACGAAAGTAATAATAAGCCAAATATCTATTTGGAACAGGCGATTTTAGTGGCAGTAATGTTTGCCCCATTGGAGTCCGTCATTGATGATCGAAAACCTGATGGATTCCACTAGTCGTAGTAAAAAAGTGGATTGCTTATGAAATTTAAATCCTATTAAAATATGTACATGAATAACTAAGTTATTCATATCAATGAGAAAAGTTTTGGTCAAACTAATTTCCCACAACGAAGGAAAGAGTCTTTATGAGGGAAATCCTCCCCTATGCATGGGCGGGCTAACATTTATGAGATAGTGTCCTAGCCACTATTTCTTGTTAATGCTCGTCTTAGGTTTATTGGAGAACAATGCTAGTCCATTTGGTTAAAATTTCACTTTGTATGACAGAACTTTGTAAACTGGAGATGGATATTTTTCCATACAAACGCGATTAGGCGACAATACATATCTGCTTAACAGCTCTAAAATAAATAAATACATGCAACAAATCAATGTTTGTGTTTAAAGAATGCATTTTATAACTTTTCCTTCTATTATTTATTAAATAAAAAGTATTTTAGACCAATTCCGTCACCATTATCGGAAAAAAGTTTGTATTTGAAATATATTTGTAGTTTTGGCTTTTGTTTATAATATGCTTTTCGCTGATAATTAAAAGTTGTTGATTTTTTTGTCGATTTCAATGTTTCTTTTAATAATCCGGTTTCTATGACTGATTCAATGTAAACAACACAGCCCTTCCGTTTTTTGGCATGCTTTTTCTTTTGGCATGCTTTTTCTTTATTCTCTTTAACCATGTCTGGCAAATGTTTTTTTTTTAAGTAAGAAGGATCCAAAACAATGTAGAGACTGTCGAGGGCTGAGTGAGATGATAATGTGCGGGGAGACCTCTAAATCTTGCACATTTCCGGAGAAATTGTTTCTGAAGTTGAACTGATTTCTTTTTATGTATTCACCCAACCCACACAGGACTCAAAAATCCGTAAAAGGAAGAGATGTTATTACTTATTAGCTTGCAAATGTGCAAAGATGTGCAAAAACAGTATGTGGGGTATTTCTACCTCTCGTACGGATGCGGTTATCCGGTGTCCCAGGAATTTCGCCCTCCAGAATATCACCCTCCCAGGGGGCGAAATTCCTAGGAAATTCGCCCCCCTTTAGAAACATCACCTTTCCTTTAGGATTTTCGTCCTCTATTAAAAATTTTGCCCTTCTTAACAGTTGCATGGGATAATTATTACAAAGCTTTAGTCATTTGAAATTAGCATCAATTCAAAATTGTTAAGACAGATCGAGCTTGAAATAACAACCGATCAATGATCGGCAGGAAAGCAGGGTTTCGGTTTCCAACCTGAAATAAACAGGGAAAGTCATGACTGCCGATCGCCATCATCGGGAACTGTGAGAATGTTATTTCAATTTGCACTAATAAAATCAAAGCGGCACTAATAAAATCAAAGTATCATTAAGGCACTAATAAAATCAAAGTATCATGAAATAGTTATTTGAATAAACCACACCATATATATATCATGCAATTTTTTTGCCGAAGTCAAGAATCAACATTACATCACTGATACTGACATGGAAAGTTGACGACTCAATGGACAATATGCTTCGCAACACATTTCATAGATTTTTTTATTAATCCTATAGTTTATTGTTAACAAGTGACTATTGTTAACACTGCTAAAATGAATGAATCACACAATAAATCTTTTCAACTTTCAATCGTTTTGTTTTTAGATCAAAAATTCAAAATTTATAGGGGGGGGGAATTTTTCCAGGAATATCACCTCCCCCGGTCGATATTCCTAGGAAAATCGCCCCCATTTTGAGAGGGGGAGGCACGAATCTCCTGGGGGGGCGAAAGTCCTGTGACATATAACACGAAACAGTTCAGAAACGATTTCTCCGGAAATGTACAAGCTTTCGTCCAAGGTGTCCCCGCACATTATCATTGCATGAAGAAAGCTGAAACATCTCACTCAGTAGTCAGTCCTCGACAGTCTCTACATTGTTTTAGATCCTTCTTACTTAAAAAAAAACCACATTTGCCAGACATGGTTAAAGAGAATAAAGAAAAACCATGCCAAAAAACGAAAGCGCCGTGTTATTTACATTGAATCAGTTATAGAAACCAGATATTAAAAGAAAGATTGAAATCGACAACTTCAATTATCAGCGAAATGCATATTATAAACAAAAGCCAAAACCACAAATATATTTCAAATACAAACTATTTTCTGATAATGGTGACGGAATTGGTCTAAAATACTTTTTATTTAATAAATAATAGAGGGAAAAGTTATAAAACGCCTTCTCTAAACACAAACATTATTGATTGGTTGCATGTATTGATTTATTTTGGAGCTGTTAATTGATGACAGATGACCACTGAGTGGAGATGTATTGCCACCTAATCGCGTTTGTATGGAAAAATATCCATCTCCAGTTTACAAAGTTCTGTCATACAAAGTGAAATTTTAACTAAATGGACTAGCATTGCTCTCCAATGAACCTAAGACAAGCATTAACAAGAAATAGTGGTAAGGACACTATCTCATAAATGTTAGCCCGTCCATGCATAGGGGAGAATTTGCCTCATAAAGACTCCTTCCTTTGTCGTGGGAAATGAGTTTGACCAAAACTTTTCTCATTTGATATGAATAACTTAGTTATTCATCTATGTATTTTAATAGATTTAAATTTCAGAAGCAATCCTCTTTTTTACTATGCCTTATGGAATCCATCAGGTTTTCGATCATGAATGACAGACTCCAATGGGGCAAATATTACTGCCACTAAACTCGCCGGTTCCAAATAGATATTTGGCTTATTAATACTTTCGTGAAAAGAACATACATTATTCAATATAAAAACATGGATACATGTTCTGTAGACCGTCGCACGACTTCGGTGCAAAGTCAGAAAAATTGCAAATATCTGTCCTAATCATGAGCGCCATTTTGGAATCCTGAACATGTCTAATATATTTGAGGATAAACAAAAAAATAAGACAATTTTGAAGAAATGACTATTTGAACAAGAATCAGGATACATCAAGGAAGTTATAGATGTATTATGAAGCCAAACGAAAATTGAGTCCGAATTCGCTAGACCGTTCTTGCAGACAATGCCTCTTAAACTTATTATTAATACAAAAACAACTTAATTTATTTATTGAACGTTCTCTGACTAAATATTTATTTCTACGAGCTTTCGGCTATCAGTCTATAGCCGTCGACGGGTGAATACAAATGATTCTATAAAGGACGCTAAACTTAAGTAGGTGGTATGAAATATGAGACTATCTATGCTATGTTACAAATGAGGAATATAAATATTTAATTGATGTTTCTTGAGTTCCTTTCTTAAGAGTATTGTGTATTGTGCTGGAAGCGTATTAGAGTTATTATCAGCTTTGTCTGTTAGTGCAGTGTGCCAGGACTCTAAGGTTTTAAGGTTCCTATGATTTCCCTTGTCTATTACTTTAGCATTGGCAAAGTCAATAATATGATCTTGAGTCCATGCGTGTTTCGCGACATTCGACCCCTTCTTGCCTTGTTTCACATTCCTCACGTGTTCGGACTTTCTCGTCTTCAGGGATCTTCCTGTTTCGCCTATGTAGCTCCAACTGCAATCTTGACATGGTATCTGGTAGACCACGTTCTTTTGTTCTTCTGTTGGTGGTTTCTGTTTTGCAGATGGGAATTGGCATTCGAGGGTTTTCATTGGCTTATTATAAACTTTAATGTCATGTTTTTGGAGTGTTCTGGCTAGAGGTTCGGTTAGTCCTTTGATATATGGGTAGAACCGCAACTCCTGCAGATGGCGCCTTTCCTTCAACAAGTTCGAAAAATGACCGCACTAACTCTTCAGGACTTGCTACAGTTTTGTTCTTATGTTTTTTGATCAATCCTGAAATTAATTTCCGACACTCCCGGACAGAACTCAACTTGACATTGACGACATTATTCGACTTTTATCTTTTGTTTTATCTAACAGTTTTTTCGTTTATAACAACACCACCTACAAACAAATCCATGGATGTGCCATGGGCAGCCCCGTTAGCGCGATTGTTGCTAACTTGTGCATGGAAGTGATAGAAGAACAGGCCATCCGATATGCAACTTCACCACCTAAAGTTTGGAAACGTTTTGTAGACGATTGTTTTTCCATAACAAAAAAGACTAACATATCATCTTTTCATGACACACTAAACTCCATTGACCCACACATTGACTTCACTATCGAAAACGAAAAGGACGGAAAGATCGCTTTCCTTGACACATTAGTTTCTAGAAACGACAGCTTAATTTTTATTGACGTTTACCGCAAACCCACTCACACAGACCGT